AGTAGTGATGGAGACAACTGAGGATTCCGGTACGTTCATGTCTTTGCATGCTTCACTAAGTGCTCTATAAATGTCCTCGCCCCTTGTTCGTTCATGTAGCGATTTCAATGCCAATAAATCTTCTGTAACCTCAAAAGTCTCAGAATTCACGCATCTCACCCAAATGCAAAGCTGAGCAACATCTCCGATGTGTGTCGATTCATCCGCAGCCAAACTGAGTGCTGAAGCAGTGGCTAGCTTAGTTTTTAGTTGTTCTGTCAAATTCTCAGACATTTCAGAAATTCGACGAGTAACTGTGTCATTGCTGAGCTGTAAACTTTTTATCCTGCGAATTATCTCGCTCTTGTTGCTCAGGTCATCAAACAGACATTGTGATTCCAGAAAACAGTTCTTAACTAGCTCTCCATCACTGAATGGTTTGCCGTGTTTGGCAAGGAGCCAGGAAATTTTGAACGTTGCTAATGTCACGGCCTGAGACACTTTTAAGCTAGCTCGCATTGTATTCTGTTCAACAATGGCATTTTTTTCAAGACTAGTTATCTTGAAAGCTCTTTCCTGAGATCCAGGTGGATATTTCGTGTCAAAAGTTGCATGGGTGGTATCGAAATGCCTTTTGACATTGTAAGTTTTACATACGCCCAGTATTTTATTACAGAGCAAGCAGAAAGGCTGTCCATCTCGCTCGTTGACAGCAAACTGATTCTTCCATTCTTCAAGCACTTTCCTACCTTCACTGCTGATGCTACGACTCTTCTTGTTTGCACGTGTTCCTTTATCAGTATTTTCCTCGCATCTTTTTTCTCCTCTAATAACAAATTTGTCCATTTTGATTGTTAATTGATGCGTTTAAAATCTGCCAGAGCGCGCGCTTGCAATTGTGTGCGTTAACTGTGTTATTGTGAGTTCATAGTTGCGTCAGTACTGCGCATATGTGAAACCAGTAGCCTACATGATCACCAAAATTATTTTGACAAAAAAATAAATATTGTTCAAACTTATATTGGTTTAATAAATAAAATAAAAACAATAATGAAATATGAATCGTAAAACAATACGTTTTTTTTTTTTTTTTTTTTTACGTGATCAGCATCATGGGCCGCATCAGCATTTGCGACGGGCCGCATGCGGCCCGCGGGCCGCTGGTTGAGAACCACTGGTCTACGCCATTAAACGTCCGAGTGATTCCGCGTGTATGTGTACGCCGTTAAATGTCCGAGTGATTCCGCGTGTATGTGTACGCCGTTAAATGTCCGAGTGATTCCGCGTGTATGTGTACGCCGTTAAATGTCCGAGTGATTCCGCGTGTATGTGTACGCCGTTAAATTTCCGAGTGATTCCGCGTGTATGTGTACGCCGTTAAATGTCCGAGCGAAACGAAGCAAAATCTATATCTACATCTGTGGAGCGATATTTCTTTTCCTAGGATGGTAGGAGAAGACTCATAAATGGTATTAACCCCAGTGACGGGTAGGTTTAGGGACGGGGTTGGGGTAGGTCATATATTTATATATACATAATACATTAATATAACGTTAAGTCAAAGGCGTTGATAAACACGCTGAAAAGCGATTATGCGTGTTGATAGCACGCCAAAAATGGAAATACGAATTGGCGTGTCATACATACGCCATTTCATGAGATCAGTCTGAAAATGCTTATAATCTAAGATAAAGATGACTGTCAGCATGCAACAGAAACGCTAATGCAGTGTTCAGTGGCAGAGGTATTAGAAATATAACGAGGATCTTCAAATATAGTCTTTGACAACGAGGGACTCGGAATTAAAAAGCTTGAGAACCTTCAGGATCATTTAAATCCCAAATTTACTTCCAAATGCTTATAATCTAACACTCAAAATAAGATAATGTTGAAAGTCAGCATGCATCAGAAATTATTTCAACGCTTACTGTTAATGCAATGCTCAGTGGCTATTATGCATAAGCTTGCATTAGTTTCTGACAGCAATTAATCCACATTTCTGCATGCTGGAGATCTGCTGCACATCCGAGGCGCGAGCCTGTGTGATGACGCGGTCACGTGCCCGTCTCGCGCACGCAAACATATCATCACCAAAGGCAAATAAATTCACCAAACGCAGTGAAATCTGGCCTTTTATGAGAGTCAACAACATCGCGTTTTATTAGGGAACACAATAACTGCGTCAAAAACAAAAGCATTGTGGAATAAATAATACGATTAGAGAAAAGTGACGTGCGCCAACAAAGGGTTAACCGAACCAATCAGCGTAACGTTAAGGCTTAAACGCAGAGCCTACAGATGGAGAAAACCTTACAAAACCACAGACAACACGACTCTAAACTCCGACAGATGTATCCACAGAGATATATGAAACACACTGGAGTGTGTGTGTGTGTGTGTGTGATGATATGTGTGCTCTCCGGAAGCTCGACACGTACCTGAACACAGAGTCCTCTTTGCTGCTCTTCGCGGGCGGTGAAAGCGCATTTCTTTTGTTGAAGAGCTTGTGAAACAGCGTGGGGGCCATAATGGACCCACGATTTGAAGGAAAACTCCTTTTTGTGTTTAATTCCTGAGGCACACTCGACTCCAGCACACGGACTCCATTTGTGGGGCAGTCATATGACTGCCGTTAGTCACACGAGCTGCTTGGCAACGCCACTGCGCTCCGATTGGCCGATTATCTGCGGAGCTCCCCTCCGCGTTCCTGATTGGCTGATATTTTGGTTTTTAGACCACGTGGTCAGAATGGCTGTGTTGATGTTTTGGGGTTACATTTAAAACGGATGCATTTCAGCTGTAATGTATGGAAACATATTCCCGCCACTCGAGAAAAACAAAGATCATCATAAAACATAAATCATAATTAATACACACACACACACACTCACAATCAGACACAGACCATAAATCATAATTCATACTCACACACTGAGACTCACACTCAGACTCTCTCTCTCTCTCTCACTTTTTCACACACACACACACACACACACACACACACACACACACACACACACACACACACACACACACACACACACACACACACACACACACACACACACACACTCAAATCATAAATCATAATTAATACTCACACACACGCTCACACACACACACACACACACTGAGACTCACACTCAGACTCTCTCTCTCACACACACACACACACTGAGACTCACACTCAGACTCTCTCTCTCTCTCACACACACACACACACTGAGACTCACACTCAGACTCTCTCTCTCTCTCACACACACACACACACACACACACACACACACACACTCAAATCATAAATCATAATTAATACTCTCTCACACACACACACACACACACACACTGAGACTCACACTCAGACTCTCTCTCTCTCTCTCTCACACTTTTTCACACACACACACACACACACACACACACACACACACACACACACACACACACACACACACACACACACACACACTGAGACTCACACTCAGACACACACTCTCTCTCTCACTTTTTCACACACACACACACGCACACACACACACACGCTCTCACTTTTTCACACACACACACACACACACACACACACACACACACACACACACACACACACACACACACACACTCAAATCATAAATCATAATTAATATTCACACACACGCTCACACACACACACACACACACTCAAATCATAAATCATAATTAATACTCACACACACACACACACACACACTGAGACTCACACTCAGACTCTCTCTCTATCTCTCTCTCACACACACACACACACACACACACACACACACACACACACACACACACACACACACACACACACTCACTCACTCAAATCATAAATCATAATTAATACTCACACACACGCTCTCTCACACACACACACACACACACTGAGACTCACACTCAGACACACACTCTCTCTCTCTCTTTTTCACACACACACACACACACACACATAATCATAAAAAAAATCATAAATCATAATTAATACACAAACAGTCGAAATAATGAGACAAGAACTCATATTTATAAGATGAAAATGAAATTAGGACGAAAAAATTCGTATGACTAAATTCGACCTCATAATTACGTAACATGTCATAATTTCATAATTATGAGTAAAGGTCAAAAATATTACTTAGCATTTTTAATCTCATAATAATGACTTAGTATGTCATATTTATGATTCACCAAAGCATGATTGTTCATATAATAGCCATTAAATATAGCATTTCATCATTTTTATGCACAAAATAATTCGGTAAATCAAGATCAGTTGCACAATATTCTTTATTATTTGTCTTTTAGTATTTATTCATCTTTTAGGCCTACACATCAACATCTAGTATAAATAATTTCACTTATAAGGTTCTCTTCCCATTAAATTCCATGTAAAATCTCATCTATTCCACTGTTGGCTTCTCGTTATCGAGATTCTGCATTACAATCATCAGGTAAGTTCATATTACATAACTCGACTTCATAACTTGTACACATGCATGTTCCATAAGTGGATGCGATGTATCTGAACTATGGCTAGTGTTTGTTTCACCCAGAGACAGGAGTATCTCTGATGACGACAGCGGCGCCCTCTGCTGGTCAGAGCCCGCAGCGGCTGGACACGATCTACGGGAACAGAAACACATTCCCAAAGGAACATGAATCCCCTGTCGGTGTCTGCGTGTGTTTATGGGGAATGCGGGAAAAGTTACCGGTTTGGCGGGAAACATGAACGAGTGTGTTTGTTTCCGTCTGTGGAGAAAGGCTTCTCTCTCACACGCATCTGCAAAGTCGAAGAACCTCACAGGATTCTCTGAGGATCCGCTTCCGTCCGGAAGATCCCGGTTTTCCCGCCGCTCAATCTGAACTCGCTTGTGGCTCGACAGGTTCCGGACGCTCACGATGTCACTGAACGTCACCTTTCTGCATTTCAGCGGTTTTCTTTTCTCCGCAAAACACTGAAAGGGAAAATCTTTTCATTTTACTGTGGATGTTGAGTTATGATATTGTGTACA